GGACAGTTGGTCTTTTTAAAAGATAAAAGGACCCACCGCTTCGACAACCGTTAGATCAACAGGTCAACAACGTTTTCACAATTGCAAAGGTGATGTTGTAGAACCCTTTTGCGGCACAGGTCTTATCGCAGAAATGTTTGCAACAAAGATTGTGTTGCAGTTTTGTTGTCTTCATTTTTTTTGCAACACGACTGTTGTTGCGGAAGGACTTTCGCAACAAGAATGATGTTGCAGATACTGTTCCTCGTGAGGATTAAAATTGTGGATGAAAGGTTGTGTTGCATGTTTTTTAATGTCTTTTCTTTTTTGCAACATGTGTGTTGTTCAATATAAAGCTTTCCTCATGAGGATTGGGATTGGGGACAAAGCGGTGATGAATGGATAAGGCCGCGTCCCACATAATTTTTCTAAACATGTACCACGTGTAACCCTTTGAGATAACTTTTGATCCAGCTGTTACTCGCTCGGTTGATGCGCGCAAGCAATCAGCTGACTGAACCGAATTGTTTCCCATTTTCTTTCGCAAACATGGCACTTTCTTGCCATGTTCAATTTTTTGCTTGAAATTGCCATGTTTGCTAAGGAAAATTGGCATACTCGTGACGATATTAAATTTTCACAAAAAATATTCGATTTCCCGTGCTTAAAAATCTGACATCGGATTTTTAGCATTTTCGCTTTTTAAAACTTATATATAAGCTAAACTCCAAAAGCCAAAATTAAGCCTAACCAAACAACATGCAATGCAGGTAATTTACATTAAATAATTAAATGCATTGGAGGTCCTAATTACTTTTCGTAGATGTGAAGTTAGTCCTAGGTTTTTTTTTAAATGCACATATGTCCTAAATCTTTCACATTAGGAAATTTATCTAGTTACTTGCGCAATCGCCTCAATTGTGAAAATTTCTGTGATGATCTTATTTGTTATGTGGGAAAAGAAGAAATGAAGAATTTCACAAATGATCAAAATGGGTAGGCATGGACAGGAGGAAGTGAATGTACTCAAAAGTTACTTAAGTACTTTCATTTGACTATACTCCTTTTGTTTTACTCAAAAGTTTAATTATACATTTTATCTTGTAGGTTATTGAATCTTGTTGTTTGATGATGTATTTTGGAATTTGGAAATACAAGACATCAGCTTCAAGTTTTCCTTTTTTTTCATCATTATGTCTTCCTTTTTTCTTTCATCATTACAGTAAGCAATCACTGTACTGCTTTGTGTATATACATTGTCTCCTATTATATCGGATAATATGTGTAGAAGCTATGAATACTCCCTTTGATCCATATTAATTGTCGCTCCCTTGGTACAACTTTAGAGTGAACGATAATTAATATGGATCAGAGGGAATATTATTTAGTACATTGTTGCTTGAACATTTGACGCCACATCAAAGTGGTGCATCCAGGATCTTCCTTTTTCTGGAGACGCTCATGGCCAACTTGTTGGGAAGAAAACCATTGAGATTCTGATACTTATAGTTCAACATGTCAGCGTCTTCTCCGCCGTGATCTTCATGACAGCGTTGTCTTAGTATTCATATCAATGGTAACCACTAAATCTTGTGAGTGTCATCATTCACGGGCTCAGAGAAGACTTTCAGTGGGAGCTCTTCTCTTTATTACCCAGTCATCTTTTTTTTTATAAAGAGAGCGTCCTTTCCAATTTCTATAAGCAGAAACCACAATGTCTTTTACAACAACTAAGGAACTTAAGGGAGAACATGACAATTCATGATCTACTGAGAGCAGAATGGGCTACCCCCAACCGTCCAAAAAGACCACAGACGGCTATATCGGATATGACCATCTGATAACCTGCAAAAGCTGAGAGACTCCGGATCCATCATTCTAGGAGTTTAGAGCATCTTCAGCCGCGCTCCCAACATGCCCTCCTCAAGCGAATTTTTAGCGCCGATGGCCGAAAATTGGCCCAGTCACGCCCTCAGGATCTCGTTTAGCGCTGGTTTGGGCGAAATCCAGAGCCGGTGTTCCCGCCCCGAACCCAAGCGGCCGGGTGTCGCCTAGGCACGCCGGCGGAAGCGAAAAGCGGCGTGGGGCCGCTCTGTCGGCGACCGGAAGCCCTTTTCCCGCCGTTTCCTCCCGCTTCCCCCCCTCGCCTTCCCTCTCTTCTCCATTCCTCCGGCCAAACCCCCCGCCTCCTCCCTACCCTTCCGCCCGCCATGCCGCCGAAGAAGTACATGATGCCACGCGCCGCGACGGATCCCACAGCCGCCGCCGTCGCCCAGTCGAAGCAAAGGAAGCCGACGGCGCCGCTGTCCAAGCCCCTCGGCATGAGCAACACCGAGTGGAAGGTGGATGTGGAGCGCCGGGAGGCCGTCACCACCGACAGACGCAACAGGGCCAAGAAGGCCAGGAAGAGAGCGGCGCACGCTGCGGCTGCGACGGCGGCGGAGCATGCGGCCGAACAAGCAGAGGCGGCACACGCGGCAATGGTGAATCCACCCAGTGGGCACCCGTACGCGGTATGGAGCCAGCAAAGCGTCGACTCTCCGGCCGGGTTTTCGTCGTCGCCGCACCCATGGAGCACGCAGTCGCCGGGCTATGCCGATGGCGACGCCCATGGGGGCTTCAACCCCAACATCACCTTCCCCCATGGGCGCCCAGTCCAGCGCACGCCCTCGCCCGCGTTCGCTAGCGTGCAGTACCTGCCGTACACGTACTCGCCGCCAGACTACGCAGCCTCCCCGACGCCCCCTCTTCGCCGCGGCCTCTACTCGCAGTCCTCCTCCTCGTCACATCTCTGCGACACCGACGCGACGGAGGCCGACATGGAAGACATCATCGTAGCTGGCTCGGCTGCCACCGCCGCTTCCCCCGGGTTCACTACCCAAGACACCTCGATTGACCTCGGTGACATGGACGGCGAGCTTGACTACTGCGAGGAAGAGCCGAAGGACGAGGAAGAAGAGGAGGAGGAGGAGCCGGCGCAGACGAGGAAAGGCAAAAAGAAGAAGAAGAAGGCGGCCAAGCCCGGCGAGCCGCGCATCAAGTGGGCGTCCAAGGAAGAGGAGTGCCTCGCCGAAGCATGGTAGGTCATCTGCCTCGACCCGGTCACCGGCACGAACCAGAGCATCGAGACGTATTAGGCGCGCATCAAGGCCGAGTTCGACGAGCGCGTCGAACCCTGCTTCAAAGGCGTGCACATGAAGCGCGGGTCCAAGGCAATGGCGAACCATTGGGGGCTCATCCAAACGGCGTGCAACAAATGGCATCGGATCGTCGAGGAGGTCGCGGCTCGCCTGGAGAGCGGCACCAGCGTCGAGGATCAGGTATAGCACGCCGTCCTACTATTGCCTTTCGCCGTGTGCGTGCATAGCGCCGACTGATGTTCTTTTCCTCGGCGCAGCTGCTACGCATGTTCGCCATGTTCCGCGATGAAAACAGCGACGTAGAGTTCAAGTACCTCCACGTCTTCAAGCGGATCGACAAGTGCGAGAAATGGGCGGCCGTCCAACGCACCCTCGCCAAGGCCAAAGAGACGTACAAGTCGGAAGCACCAACCGCGGGTGCGGCTGACGGGCGCCCAGACAGCAACAAAGGTGCTAAGAAGGCGAAGCACGCCGAGTCGGCTGCCGCGCGCGTGCAAGAGTCCATCGAGCACTGCCTCGCCGATGCCAAGACCAGGGCCGCCCAGCGAGAAGAGAAAACTGAGGCGAGGTGGGCTGTTTTGATGGCGAACAACGCCGTCAAACTCGACTTGCTCCAGACCAGCGCCGCCGCGAAACTCAAAGCTCAAGACGCCAAGAAGAGGAACAACGACCTTGCCTTCTTGATGGGCGGCACGGACATGCTCTAGAGCGGCGACGAGAAGCTCAAGGCGTGGTTCTTGGCGGAGCGAGGCCTCATCCTGAACCAGATACCGGCGACGCCTAACACCGCCGCCGCCGACGCCACCCGGCCCGACCAAGGATGATGCTTCCGCGACGCCCAAGCCCACCGACGATGCCTCCGCCGCGCCAACCAGCCCGGAAGCCGCGTCGACTCCTCCCAGCCCGCGTAGGCTGACAACGACGCTGGAGGTTGAGGTCGACGTTTGATGTACTCCTTCCGCGTCCTTCCTTTTTTGTACGCCGAACTACTGCGTGTCCTTTCATTTGATCGCCGAACTGTGGCGCGGAATCGCCGAACTATTGTGATGATCGCCGGTTTGTGGTTTTTTTAAGCGGGAACGATGGAGTTCGAATATGGGGCGTCTTGGGGGGCGGCACCTGGGGGCGTGGGTGGGGAGAAACGAACTCCAGGGACCGATCTAGCGCCGGTTCGCCCCCAGGCCGCTCTTTTTCGGCGCCCTGAGGGCCGAACGGCCGGAGATGCTCTTACAAGCCAGGTCTCCTGGAGATGTTTAAAATGAAGTTTCTAGCCATTGGAATTATTCAGTAATCATCAGTTCGACGACTTACATCAGAATTGTAGCTGTTTATTCTCTATACAGAACTAAATAATAAAGAGAAGAGCTCTACCCCTACATCTTGTGTCTCTGTGTCTACTTTTTACCTCTACTTTCATGTTGCGCTCAACAATAATCTCAACAAAAACTTTGTATGTGGTAGGACTGATCATAGATGGACATTGCATGGACACCTCTCATAGAAGGTTATTGTCACTAAATGTAGACCATCTACAAGTGATAATCTCTGATGTCATTTACAAAAGCCATCAGAAGGAGAGGCAAACCGTCAGAGATGAGGTTTTTACCCGTCCATGGTAAGCAAGTGTGTTCCATTCGCCATTCGTCAAGAATAATAAAAATGGCCAGCATTGCTAAACAAGTAGACATTTATTAATTTCAAAATAATAGAAGTACATCATCATCATAACATGGAAACACCAAAGCCGCAACGACTCAACAGTCAACACCAGGAGACAGTGAAACCTATCACACTCAAAGATCAAGTAAACTAAACAAGCATCAAATGTCGCCATAGTCTCTCACTCTTAACCGCGCCATACGCAGCCATAGCTTCATTGTTTCAGTCGGTGCTGCTGAAGCTGAGTAGCTTCCACGTCCTGGACTCGGACCCCGGGATGCCCCAGACGATGGACACATACCTGCTGTAGACCCCTGCGCCGTTCTTTGCCGTGAGCACCATCCAGTACTCGTAGCCCTCCCCGGACGCCACGGACCAGCACTGTGACGTGCTCGCGTAGTACATGGTGAGCCCGTGGGAGAGCTTGTACACGGTTACCGAGAACGTGCCCACGCTCCTTATGAAGTCGCTGCTCGCGTCCTCCTGGTACGTGTACTTGGTCGGCCGCGTCGCGACCGCCGCCACTGTCGCTCCGGGCAGCAGCACCGCCGCGGTGACCACGACGCCGAGAGCTAGCGCAGCAACAACGGCCTTCGATTGCTTCATGATCGAATGATGGCTAAGTAATTAGCTAGCAGCTAGGTATACTTAACTAGTAACCTTGCTTGCTAATTAATGGTTAACTGGAGGCAGCTAGGGGTAGCTAATTAACTCTGTGAGGGATGCAAAGACACGGGATGCCTTCACTATATATAGCCTGCAGCTGAGGTGCCGTCTAGGGTTCGTGATTCGTCAAAACACGTACGTATTCACCACAGAGGGCAAGCTAGCCATTAAGTTGGACCTTGAGCGCTTAACCTATGAGATCAATTCAGTGCCAGGTCGATTAATTGGCGTGGAAACCATGCTGCTTAGGCAGTGCACCGACGCGTGTACATGCAATGCATGGGTGCTGGTGATCGAGGTCGAGGTTGGGGAAGTACGCGCGGGCGTGGAGATTGGTGAGGCGACAACTATGAAACCCTAGTTTAATCACCTGGTTCGCGTGGTTCGTTGGTTTTGCTACAAGGGGAGGCGTACACAGGTAGGTGCCGCGCCGAATAACGAGGCCCCGCGGCGCGCATACTGAAGCAGCGAGCACCGGTGGTCAACTACGTCGGTGGCGCCGCGCCGGAGGAGCGATCTCCAGCTGGCCAGCTAGCTTTCGGCCATGTCGGCAAGGCCGGCCGGACGCTGGAATGTTCATG